CATTATTTAATAACCCAGAATATAATCACGTCTTTGAACACTGGAAATAATGTATTAGGCCCAGGGCTGCCCCTGACCAAATTGGGGCCCTAAGCGAAATTTTATTTGGAGGCCCCCATCCCAAATGTATCATAGGTACAAAATGACCGTACTACAACTTGCCATTTAACTTGACAACCTTTACTGGCAATAACAAATGTACTGTAAATACACTAGTTTGGCTGTATGAGTCAAATAAAATAAAAAATTCAACCTGAAATAAATAAATAAATAAATAAATATTAAATAAAAATAACTTCAAACTGAAATAAATAAATAAATGAACAAATCTGAGTCACAAATAGCCATCAATTACTCATCAAAAGAAAGTAACTTCCACCACCTCAATCCCCCACCCTTGATTAAACACTGAAAATAAAATAAAAGAGGGAGACAGGTTTTTCCTATTTAATCTTATTTTGTTATATTTCTCTCTCTCCCCTCTCTGGAGGCGTCCGATCTCCCTCAGCCCTCCGCCTCTCCCACCTTAATTAAACACTGAAAACAGAAATAAAATACAGAGACATTCTTTTCAATTTTCATCTTATTTAGCTATATTTCTCCCTCTCCCCTCTCTGGGAGCATCCGACCTCCCGCCACGCACATAACCCCGAGGCTTGGGTCTCCCCCTCCGTGGAGCCCGCCCTCCCTCTCAACCCCGCACATACTCCTGAGGCTCTTTTGGACGACATGTCGACAACTTTTCATCTGCTGCAGCTCTGCAAGTGCCTGCCAGCGCACCCCTCTTATTGTTCAGACGTCAAGTGCTGTCAATCATTGCAGCGACGCATGGGCGGTCAGGTCTCTTCTCTCCTTCCTCGAGCTGATTCTACGCGCGCCTCACGGTAGCGCATGTGCGCATCCATTGCGCATATGCGCAAATACGTCCCCTCGCGCAAAATGTGGCCCCCCATAGAAGATGAGGCCCTCCGCATAGCGCGTGTTCTGCCTTTAGGGAGGGGCGGCCCTGATTAGGCCAAATGTTGAAGGGAAAATTCAAATTCTGTAACTCATCAACCCAACGCTCAGGAATGATCAGCCTGTGTAACTGAATGGAAATGACAGACAGACTCTGACTTTGATTGTATCCATAATAAAAGCTTGTATCCATAATAAAAGTTTGTATCCATAATAAAAGTTGATGAGGGAAATAACAGATCGTGAAGAGAAAAATCTTTCAAATAAATGAAGAAAGTCGTTTGTTTCCTTGCCAAATCCACTGACAAGCTTTGCTGGCCTGGAAACTGATCTACAAGCATAACTTCTCACAAACCAGTGATTATATTTGGAATAATGAAGACATCCTTTATAAAAACAAATCACTGTTTTATTAGGATTTGCTGGAGCATGGAATTTTATTAATTAGCCAACTTATTAATGACTAAGGTTTTTTACTTTCTTATGAAGAATTTTTGTTAAAATTTCAGTTGCCAGTTACGCCGAAGAATTATGCTGTGATTTTTGATGCAGCAGGGACTGAAAGAAATATACTGTTGCAGAAAATTATAAGTGTGAGATTTTTGTTGGCGGAGTAGCCTACTAGACATTACAAAAAAAAAAAAAATCCTGCTCTAACAGATATTTGAGAAGCTGCTTACAATCAACGATTCTGCCTAGAGGTCAAATTTACTGGACTGCACAATTTGGAGAGGTTAGCTGGCATAAAGCGAGGCTGGTTGGTGACAAATTCCGTCTTAATAACAAGGTGAAAGAAGTCTCGTTTAAAATTTTACATCAAATCTACCCTGCAAAGAAAACACTTGAAAGATTTAAACACTGAATATTTGTGCGATTTCTGTGGACTTGAAGATGAAACCATCGCTTAGCCTACTTATTTAATCAATGTACTTACAGTAGAACTTTTTGGAAAGATGTTCAGCATTTTGTACAAGAGAAAACAGGACAAAATGATCAGTTTCCAGGAAAAAAAAAACCCATTTTTATTTATTTTGATGAGCGGACGGAAGACAAAGATTTGTGTTTTTTCTGTCAGTTGATCATGAGTTTGGGGAAATTTCACATCCATAAAAACAAATGGGCCAAATCTAAACCAAACATTGTACTCTTTCGACAAGAACTGCACCGCTATGCTGCCACAATCAAGGACATTAGAAATAAGAAAGCTGCCAAAAAGATACTCTATTATGGAGAAAGTCTGTGGAAGTGATCTGTAAAGTCTTTTTGCTGTCTTTTGTTTTGTTTTTTTCCTTTGTTTTGTTTGTATCTCTGCACCCCCTGTATGTTTATGTGATGGAGTTAATATACAGTAGCCTATGTATGATTCCGCTTGCCATGGCTCACACTCATAGACTGTATAAAGCTCACACTGCTTTATTTTATTGATTACTTTCGCTTAAACTGATTTATTTTATGGTCAGCGAACGCAACACCCCTGCAGACTAGGGTCGTGTACCCCGGAAGATAGCAACAGTTTGGCTGCGGTGTCTCCCTGGTAGGTGCACATGTTATCAGCTCCGTAATAATTTTGTATTATTTATCTTAATTTTGTATCTAAGGGGTTGTGTATGTTACCTTTTGTAAGACTGGAGCTCCCGATCGGTTGAGCACTTCCTTTTGTAAAAGTTGACGGTGTTTTTATTTATTTGTGTGTAACGTGGTTAGCATAACACAGGGTTTAGCTAACTTGCACTCCTTTTTTAATTTATATTCCCAGTGTGAGAGCACGTGTGTAAATGAGGCCAAGACTGACTGTACAAATACTTCTCTGCCAGGTACGCTTTTTGCATATTTTATGTTCATTTTAAAACTAAAGCAACAGTTTGGCTGCATTGTCTCCCTGATGCCGGAATAAACAGCGAGTGTCAACAGTGATCTGAGCTTTTTCATGATTATACACAATGCAAGAAAGAGAGAGTACACAACCACTACATTTAGTCTGTTTAATCTTAAAGGGTTCCGCCAATATGACTATCCTCCGAGGCAGAAAATTGGGCACCTCAGATCAACTTGCCTTTCCGTCTCTGTGTATAAACACTCGTAGCTTGCCAGCAAAACAGCCCAACATTTGCGGAAAATCTGGCAGTGCTATATTGGTGGAGCCCTTTTAGTTTAAGAAGACCGAGGTGGCCTCCCGCAACGGGAGGGGCTGTTGATGACTTGTGGGAGGAGCTGTTGATGACGCCACATGTGCGAGCCACTGGCAGTGGATAAATAGGAAACAGCTGATAGCAGGAATTAGCGAGCAGCTAGTAGCAAGAGAGAAATGCAGGGGTCATCCCTATGTTTCCCGGTTCTATGTTTCCCGCTCAACCAAAAAGGATTGAGCATAGAACCTATTTGTGTAAACGGGGAACATAGAACCTTTTTTGCAGGGTTAAGTGGGGAACATAGAACCTGGGAAACATAGAACCCAGGAAACATAGATACGCTCCCGAAATGCAAACCTGACAGACACTGTAAAGATGAGCAACTGGGGAGACAAGGAATTGCGCACCCTCCTTGCCCTCACAAACGAAGAGGCCATTAACCGTTAGATGACGGGGACGGTGAAGGACGGGCCGACTTACGAGAGAATCGCTGAAGGACTGACCAGCCGCGGCTTCCCTCCCACGTCACTGTTTACGTCACACGCTGAGCTACACTTTTGTTACTTGCTCACACCCCACATTGCCGCAGTAGCAGAAGCAGCAGTAAATATACAGTTTAATAAGAAAGTAATTTAAGTAATAATATACCATAGCCTACATATGATGCATCACCTTAATGTTGCTGCTGCTGGTTTAGGTGGTGTTCATTTTGATTTGAACTACATTAGGCTATTCACTCTGGATCCAGGTTATTAAACTTGCTCTTTCATGGTGTTTCCTACTTTATTAAGCTGATTTAGTGCATTAGATATGATGATTGAAGTAATGTATTTATTACAGTTGGAATCGTAGGTAGTGTACACATTATGTTTTTGGATTATTCTATTTGCTCCAAACCAATTTTTGCTGTTAGGAAAGCTGTATATAGCTGGATTAATTCCGCATTGTCATTTAGGATTTACAGAATTAAGTTGTATATTACTTACAGTATTACATTAAAATAAATGGCACTTTAACTATTATTTTATGTATATTTTTTATAGTCAGAGTAATTATAGTTCCTAGCTACTACTGTTTGGTGGGGGATAGATGTTAGAGTAAGAGACAAGAGTTAACTTGTGCTGCAGTTTTGTCCACTTATTACCCCCAAGCCAGAAGAACTGGAGAACGCTACCAAACAATTAAGTAGGGTTTCAAAGTGATCAGCCTTTAGATTAATCATACAGCATAGAACTCAGACTTTTGCCATGTTCATAGTAAGATTGCTGCCATACCTTTTACATAAGAGTGACTAAGGTACTTATTTCTTATTTAGACATGAGACCAACATGTTACATTGCCGTCATATTAACGTTAAGGGGTGCATGTCTGAATAGGGCTGTACGCTCCTCCACTCCCTTCACAGCAGATGTTATTCCATCATAACTTTGCTTAATGCCACGTGTCTTTATCTTGCAGTACATTATACCTTTCTTTCATATGTGAAACTCAACACACACCTGAGGATACACACTACTGGGCTTGACTTTGAAGGAGGCTCCATTAGAAACATGAGAAGACATCACATGGTGTTTCTGTCTTTATTGGATTAGCTTCTTTCTCTCCTCAGCATCCGGGTATAATCTCTTTTTGATGTTTTCCTGTGTGCCATCCACCCCCCCATTCCTCCATCTCATCATGGTGGTGATGAGATGGAGGAATGGGGGGGCCACCTAGTGGCCAAAATGCAAATGACCCTGTCTACAACAGTAGAAACACTGCAGTGGACGTGGCAATCTCCCTAGATGAGGACCCGCTCCATATGTAGATATAAACAGCTCATTCAAAGGTAACGAAAACACGACAATTCTTATTTTCAGGTGATTATACACTAAAGAAAATATACTTATTATATTGTATTTCTTTCTGCCAATATATCCCCCTAACACACTGGACTTTTAAGGGTAAAAATTTGCTTGAATGTGAAGAGCCATGCACATATATCCAACACAAAAGGACACACAAACATACATAAGAAATAGCATGCTCGCCATGACTGCTGTGGCTTTATCCAGCTTGTTATCATCAGAGACAAAATGGCTACTTTTATCAAACCAAACCACGATTCAGCTCCATTACACAGAGTAAAACTGTTAGAATAGAAACCACAATAGAGCTATTAAAGAAGGCCAAGCAAGTGATTCAATTCACAAAGGCCGTCATCAGTTGTAGTGCATTATAGTAGTTTCAAGGCAAGGTACAAAACAAGTACAGAGAGCTCAGACTCAGCTGAAATCTTTTTCAGGTTTAATTCCAATGTTTTCTTCTTGCCTGGTAAATCCTGAGCCAACGTCACATGCCAAAAGTGTCGCCATGCAAAGATACTTTTATTTTAGATATAACTGTTTGTCATTGACCGCAGCTGTTCTGTGAATTTAAGGATTACATAGCAGCGATTCAAGGATCTTCAGATTTTTTTTGACATTGACATAAACAAATTGATAATGTTGAGGTATTAAAAAAAAGAGTGAAAGACCTGCATTTTTGAAATCGATAAAACTTTTAACATTTTTAGAGAAATCCAACCCACATCTGTCATCCTCAGTCCACTCCTCCCAAACCATTGGCTGATGCTCCTGTCCATTTAGCTGTAATGTTCAATAGAAAATGCCCCCGAGTCACTGGACCTCATGATGGTTTCGTTATGTCGTAGTGACAGCTGGGAGCGGTACAACCCACTGCTTGGGGAATCCAGCGGGTTGTCTGACACCTACAGTATTTGAAAGAGACAGAGGGAGACATGTTTCTTTTTAATATACTACCACACACATATTGGCATCTGTCATATCCTTCAGTTTTGGTGATTGTCATTTCTAAACTGTACGCATACTACTTAGGAAACAGATTGTCTACTCCATGGTTGGTTGCTTAATTACATAACATATTGGCAAAAAAAAATCCAGAGATGTCTTTGCTTGGGTCGATAAAGAGGTGGAACTGTTACTGAAAGTAAGACAGGTGGTCATGGCGATTTAAAACAGCTTGAGAGTTGTTGCTTATTCAACCTGAGGGTGGGCATTATGCTTCCATGACAATGCTGTTTCGCCACCATGAGTTGGGACGACGTTATCAACGTTATAAGTGCAGTGCAGAGCAGTGATGCAGTGCAGAGCAGTGGTGATTCATGGGATACACACACAGGGACTCCATGTGTGCTTACATGCATGTGTGGAGGAACAGAGAAGCTCTGATTACAACACACAGAGGTGTCTTGACCTTTTTCTCTGCTCAGGATGCCATTACTCCTAGTTAAATGGTGATGAATTGCCAGTGTTGTGTTTACAGCTTGTTCCACAGCCACCACATGGCTTTAAATCAATTAATGCAGCTCTACGGGTTAGCAAGCCACAATCTGTGATTAATAAATTCAAATAATCTGATGAGGTGCACAATCCATTGTGTTTGATTATCTGAAGAGCTGGGTATTTTACCTCTTCAAATTTCTTGGCCTTGTACTGCTCCGCTCCTTTCAGGAAGTTCAGCAGTATGATGTCACACAACACTGTACCCTACATGATAATAACGACAACAACAACAACAATAATAATAATAATAATAATGATGATAATAATAAGAAGAAGAACATTTATTTATACAGCAATCAACAAAGCAAGAGTAGAGATGACACTTGTAAGATTCAGCCCAACAGCCTCAAATTTCCTTCAAAACTAAGTAAAACCCAATACACTTCAAGTTTCAGCGAGATGGGCGGACATTTTTTGTGATGTATTTAAGTGCGGCAGAGGTAAAACTGTACCTGATATAATGCTTAAAATCAGAGATTACAGGGAAATAATTGACTCCATTTAACAGTTCTGAGAAAAAAACTCAAAACTACTAAATAAAAAAAACAAACTGGTTTATAATGAGCTTTACACTGGTTGTGTCGAGTATACCAGTAAAACTCACCACTCCCACTGATGTGAAGGCTGCCACCATGTTGATAAGTGTAGGGATCATGTTGAACTTCCCTGCCTGCAAAGGGAGAATAATAACAAGGGAGTTTCAATTCAAAGACCCCAGGCTTTATATGAATCAGTTTCATTGATCATAGCTACTTTATCTGACCTGAAATGATGTTAAAGACAATAACCCTTTCATGCCCCAAACACACAGGCAACAGTTATCAAGACTGTATTTAGATGTACTGTATAAATTATTCTGCTATTCTGCTCTAGTAATGCCTAAACAAGGTATTTGTAATAGGGTGCTTCAAAAGATGGAGAAGTGTTGTGCATAAAAACGTATGCAACTGGTGCCATAAAATATATTTTAGTACTTTGTAAAGAGGAACGAGAGCTTCCATGTTGAGCTGTCAAAACGACTACAAACAAATGTCTGTCATTATTCATAACAGATTGTGTTTTGTAAGTACACAAACCCTGACACACACTAATGCTTTGTTCACACTACTAGCGACACAGCAACAGGCTGCAAGTCATTTTTATTAGAAGCCGGTGACATAAAGCTACAAACCAACATCAGACACTTGTTGCTGCTGTCAGGCATGATGTGCCACAAACCAAAGTTGAGCTGGTCTCAGCTTTTTTCAGTGTTCCACTGACAAAGTGAAGCATCAACAAACTATATGTTTTTGTGTCTAGCTGTGCTACTGTTCTGTAGCTAGGTTGGTTAGCTGACACTGTACCAGCTTTCTGTGTATTGCGGTGTTCAATTGAGGTGCTTTGTGGCAAATAGCAGGCACACACAAACCCGTGACGATGTGGCTCTGTTAACGAGCGGTTGAGCAACACTTCAACGGGGACTCAGCCTCACAGCATGAGATACATACTCACATTTCCATTGACCAGAACATCAAACCTGATGGCATAGGCTTTGACAAGAGTGCGGTAGTCTGTGCCATTCTCCATCTTAAAGTATTTGGCAAACCTGTACAGACGGAAAAATCACACCATTATTATATCAAAGAAAACACTATTAAGCTTATAGATTGGTCTGCAACTGAGACACTTTCTTGGCAGAATAGAAAGAAAGAACAGTGACTTTGTGGCTGTATCTGGTTAAACAAAAAGGATCTACGTCTTTGACAAAAGCTCTATCTCTGTAGGGATCCTTTCCATAATGTTGACAGACAAATCTGAGTCCATTAGTAGCAAAAACAAGCATTGTACATTGACAATGCACAATTTCCCAGAGTCTTTAGGTTACATTGCAGCCTGTTTCATGGCTCCAGGCTGCAGCAGTCTTGTTCAGTACGGCACCAAATTCAAAAATTGTTGTCCCCATTAGTCCCTTAGACACATAAACATGGGAAGATAGAGTCCAGGTTGAAAAATACTGAAGTTACCCTTTAACATTCAGATCTGGACAAGCCAAAATGATCAATCTCAGACATACTGGATATGATGCAGTCTGACTGATGTGTTATTGAAGAAGTTATCAATGCTGAAACGCTTGTTTTTATTCAGAGCCCTTTATTTAAGCAATCTGTTTAACAACCTGGAACTCTTTTCATTGACAAATAGGTGGCTGAGATAGCCACAGGAGCCATGAATATCCAAAGCAAATATCATGCAGATATGGTCATGTGTTGTTGATATCTTGTTTACAAAGTCAGGGGCATAAATATAGACAGTGCAGGCAATGCAGTTGCACTGGGGCCTGTGAGGTGGGAGGGCCCATAGAGGGTGGGCTCTCAAACTATGTGTTGGGTGGAGGATGGGCCCTTATAAGTAATTGCAGAATTAAAATTATGCCTGTGTTAAAAAAAGAACTCTCATTAGATAAAAAACAGTGCCAATCGCTATATATGCCCTTTTTCTTTTTTTCTGTAAAATAGTCAGTAGCAAATATAACAAAATAATAATCTTATTCTGAATAAACTCTGATAAACTAATAAAATTGTTAAATTAAATTAATAATTTCTTATTTTCTTTGGTATTTTTTGTCATGTACAGCTATGCAGTGATGATTGTTCGGTAATAATAGTGGCCTGTCACACCTACCTTAAGCCACTGATTTTTATGGCAATCTGCTCAGTAGTTGTTTAATTCTCTGTATGGATCATAGCAGTTGAACCATGTCTTACCTGAAATTGTAGCCTGGCGAGACAGCGTTCTTCTGTGACATGGCATCCAGGCGGGTGAATGAGTACGAGGGGTTACACTGGTCATCGGGCTTGTCCAGATCACATACCCAGCCGATCTTTATTCCAATCACTCCTCCCTGACAGAATTTTTAAAAATAAGAGAGGCACATGGATAAGTGTGTTTGCGCTGAACCCTGTATCCTATAAATTACATTTATATACAACTAATGTGTGCGGGCAAACACAAGAGAAGTGTTGCACTGCCTGATTCATCCTGATTCCAGGATTCATATCTTGCCTCATGCAAGACTGAGGTCACAAAAAAGACTTAAGGAAAGGGCAACCATTACAACTGTTCAGCGACTTTTGAATATAATTTTGGCATGAAAACTGATGAATGGCGTGGATTTCATTTCAACACTGTGGTGACATACATTAAGCCAGAGTGTCTGGGGGGGTTATCCCCCAGGAAATATTAAGCATGACACTGCATTTCCTACATTATGATATTTTTTTATGCAGCAATTTATGATGGAAATGTCTTTTAATTTAAGTACAGCAAATCATAAAAATCGGGCAGCAACAATTCAACAATGTGGCAGAGGTCTAATTAATTCATCTCTCCTTTGTCCTCCTCCTGATCTAACGGCGAGGGAGGAGTGTGGAGAGCCAACAGTCTGCTCAGCAGTGGACTCTGTTGTAGCTTGGCCCTTATACTTTTTGCTGGTCCAATCAAATGCCAAGGATTTGATTGACCTCATTTAACTGCAGCCTTGAATATTAACTGGGGAAAAACTTCACAGTGCAGAAGCTTAAGACGCTCTAATTTGCGTTTCACTGGGACTTTTACAACGTCTCTTGACTCTACCTTGTCTGCCAGTTTAGTGAAGTTCTGCTGTGCGTAGCGGACCACGTCTCCGACTCTGAAGATGGGGCAGTAGGTGTTGTTGACCTTGTCAAAGTTACATTTTTTGATGTAATCATCAGTGATGGTGGGAAGGAAGTTCCCCCTGCACACATACAGAAATATCATCATAATCATCATCATCATCATCATCAGCAGCAGCAGCAGCAGCAGCAGCAGCAGCAGCAGTAGCATCATCATCATATTTAAAATCACAACTGTCATACTTGGTATAGTTGAAGGTTGGAAAGCGGATGCTGTTCTTAATGAAAATGGTGAAATTCTCCACTTCCATCATTGGCGTACTGAAAAAGATGTGTAGAGACGAACATAGAAAAAAAGAAAAGACATACAAACAGCATTGGGTTTAAACGTGTTATTCTTCTCTCGCCTGTGGCTCAGTTTCGACCAACAGAGATGATTCTGTTCACCTGTACTGTACTGAGGTGGAGGCAGAAGCCGTTTATATCTCAAAAGCTGGACAAAAATAAAATCCAAACTATCTGCATGGATAAATATAACTAGATGGAGACCTTTAAAGAGTGTACTGCCCCAACATAACTTTGGTATCAGGATACCCTCTCTCATTGTTTGTTACAGTAAAGATCAGTGATAGCGCAGCCTTGTAAAAAGCTCTCCATCAGAGTATTGCCTTACGTCTTGATGGTGTCGATCTCGGCAGGACACCATCCTTTTATCTCACACATTTTGATGGTGGCGTTGAAAGGAACACAGTTCCCTGTCAGGATTCCTGAGCAGGAAAAGAAAAAGCTTTTATTCAAATTGCAAAACCAAAAACAAATGCGAGGCTCAGAAATACATAGCAGTTGTAACGTAGCAATGCAATACATATACATAATTGTAATAATAGCAATGAGTATAAAATTATATCGATCAAACACTGATATGATGAGAGAAGATAAAGACACAGAGAGAAGATCTCACCATAACTTCCTGGCTTGTTGAGAAGCCTTGTGCAGTCACTTTGCTTGGTACAAATATACTTCTTCTCACTCTGGGTAACACAATTAAACACACACACACTCACTCTTCAGCTGAATTATTTTCATATTAATAATGAATCAAATGACTATGTTTAATGTGTAAGGAATCTCTAGTAATGACGAACCCAGAAAGAGTTATCGTCCAACTCTGCAGTTACCCTCATATCTACAGAGATTTTAGCATATCTGTTTGGAGGGGATCATGCATTTGGTTGTGTGTGTGCATGCGTGAGTGAGTCTGTGTGAGTGTGTGTATCTGACGGTTCTACAGCTACCGCAGCTGTATGCTCAAAGACCTTCCGTGGTCGCTTTGATTCACAATCACTGAAAACCCTGTTTTATTGACTGTTTGATACTGTCACTGATTCTTCTTTCAGTTTTTCAAAAACTGGCGTGACTACAAACAACAAGCTTTACTGTCTGTTGCAGGCCACATTTTGGCCTTCTATTCACTGTGGCTCAAAAACTGGCATCCATCGAAGAGTTTGGTCTCATTTTGAACCGAAGCTTCTGCAGATTAATTCCATTACCGATACTAAAGTTAGGCACAATACGAGATGAACTGTTATCGTCACTGCCATCTTGACTGTAGGCTGGGACAGACAATTCCACCAGGCACAGCTACAATGCTTTTGTTCCATCTGCTGCACACCGCCATACCACACCATAAGTGTTTCAAAAGTTTAGCGTTTTGCGTAGCAGATTTTATAAACTTACATATTTCGTTGCTTTGGTCATTTATCTGTAGTATTGTGGTGCTGCCATAAGTAAGTACGCTACGCAGTTAATTTTTTTGTCTATTTTAATAAAGTGTATTGTCATTTCCTATTTTGTTGTTCTGTAGCCTCCAGACAACGCTAAGATCGTTAAAAGTCCAGTTCTGAATGACACAAATCAAAGATTTGTGGCTGTGTTTTGGTTATCAAAAATATATCATCCTCATAATTATATCTATATTTCACAAACAGTGCATGTCAGCAGGAAAACTGTCTGCTCTGTGTAACATGTGTTAACAGTGATAGCAGACTATTAGCACTATTAGCAACAGTGACTGTAAAAGGGTAGTTAGAGAGAATGCAATGCAAAATTTAGAAGTGGCATAAATGTGTACAGTGTCACGGATAAGATTGTTTGTTTTATTTAATTAAATTTAATTTAATTTAGTTTCATTTTATGGGGACAATGCAATGCAACATAGTTCCAGTACAGACTATGGGACTGATGTGTTGCACAGAGAGTTTATAGCTATTGCTAATTGTCATTTCTTGTCCCTAGTTGGGCTTTTATATGTTATCAAAATATACAGTTTAAAACAAAACTTAAATGAGCCTAGCGTCCTTATTCTTTTGTCAGATTGCCAATCAATTCTGATGTGCACTAGTTGTAATGGTAGAAGTATTAATAATCGTAAGGCACTAGTAACAGTAGTGGTATTACAGTAACGGTAGTGACAGTTGCTGACCTCAGGACAGTATCCTTGGACTTGGTTCTCTGTTGTGATCATTTTGGTGATGATGCAGAAGACTGAAGCTCCCTGTGGAAAACACATTTATAGGACATCATCACTGTAGCCCACTATTAAATGAATATTTATCCAGCCATCTGTTCATCCATCAGTCTGTCCAAACCTGTGTGGGAGTGACGTAGTCGGCAACATCCATGACCTTGTTATTGTAGATTCCAAAACCTTTGACCTTGGTCATCACTGAGGATTCAATAGCTGTGTCTCTCACCTGGTAGGCCTTTTCATTGACAAACACCCACCTGAAGTACACAGAAGCCAGAGAAAATGTTGGCATTGTGTGTTTCTTAAAACTTCAAATATGTTGTTCCACATTATTATGTAGCCGATACATTGAACCTTTACTTTTAAATAACACCGTGGTTAGCATGGGGTTATGTCTAGGCACAAAAAGCGTTTGGTTATGGTTAGAAAAAGATCATGCTTTGGCTAAAAATTCCTGGTTTGGGTGGCACAATCCCCGCAGGAAAAGCAGCCATGCCCCAGTAAAAAACAACCACTTGTCGTGTATTTTGTTCATTTAGAAACTCAGCATGAATTTCCTTTGATCCATACTCCAAGTTAGGAGTGTCCTTGTGTCTGTAGGAACAGTCTGTTACACCTAATTGGTCCCAGCGTCCTCAAATATGACGATTATAAAAGTTTGTTACTGATGCTAAAAGCGGTCAGACTTGTTGCCATATCAAACTACAAACATTAATCATAAAAAAACAAGTTTCAGCCATAACATGTGATCAGGTTTTGTGCCATATCCACTTTTATGTCGGGATCAGCTGCAGACTGACTTGGCAGAGATGGCTACCATCTCGTTTTCACATAGATCAGTCAGTTTGTTGTGCTTTTGCTACCCTCTAAGTGGCACAAAAAACTGTCCACGAATGAGGACAACAGGTCTAAGTAGTTAGAATGATGTATAAGCTGCAACAAACTCAGAATGTGATGTCCTAATATGAGGACGCAGGGTCTCAGGAGGATATACATCACTTTAAAAAAGTTGATATGAAATGTGGTAATGTAACATATCCATCGTTTGCAGATACTTACAAACAGTGCAATACAGTAGTAAATCTTGTGTGTTGATTCTCTCAGACTTCATTTTAAGATGCAGTGGAGCCTGTTAATGCTTTATTCTATAATTTACTAGGAATTAGCTATAGGTTGGGCCATGAGTTTAAGCTGCTGTGTGACTGCTCACTGTTTTTCAGCTGCTGTAGACTGAATGAGTAGTGACTTGAAAAAGGGTCAAAGTGAGCATCACCTATAGCTTGTTAGTTTGACAGCTTTGGTGGTTTTAAATATTTTTAATAGCATGCTGATGTTTACGCTCGTGTGTTGGATGGGAGGTTCAGTTACAGTCATATAACTCAGTCTGATACCTTGATACCAAGAGCTCATGAAATCATGAACTACCAGAGGATGTGGTCAGTCGGGTGTGGTTGAGAGGGATATGAATAGCAAGGATCTTTGCTCTTCACATGCAACACTTTAAGCTCAAATGTTCAAGTGAGATATTGTTGATAAAGAGACTCTCCCTGTAACTGTCCAGTATAACTGCTGATCAACATAGTAACCCATTAACTAAAACCGTTAAGAGCAGATTAAGGGTGATAAATCACTACAACTACAGCTAATGGATTTTAATTAGGAAAAATAAGATTAAATGTAACTAAGTTTACATTAAGAACAGAGGAAAATTATGAACCTCAAATTTAACTTAGTTCAGTGAATTTTAATTTGATACACTGCAATGCAATCAAACCTAAAACTCAGCCTACAGTTACAATTAAACTACACAAAACAAATATAGCAAAACTTAACTGGCTGAGATGTTTTTTTATTGATAGTGAATGAATGAAATAAGATTGTATATTTTTATTTATTTATTTATTAATTTATGTATTCATTTATTTGTGTATTATTTATGCATTCATTCATTCATTTATAATATAGCACTTCTAGCCTCTGAAATGGACCTAATTTGCCTCTTTTAATGTCAGGTACAGGACACTTGTATTATATTGTTAGTGGTAAATAAATATGTTTAATATCTGAACATTAACATTTTGAATTAATATATGTTTAGATATTACATATGTATACAAACATAATATTTGTATAAAACTACAACTGAGGTAATAGCACCTATAATACTTACAGCACGAGAATACAATAATAAACATGATAATATAATATGGCAATGCCGTGTGTAATATTGCATTTTAATTCTAAACCGACCAGGTATGCCATCACCACCACAAGCAATAGTTTATTAATTAATCAGGGTAGATGTGATATGATAATAAATGCCTAATCGATTACATTAAATATTAATGTATAATAAATATATATTTTCTGTAACTGGCAGCTGCTGCTAATTCACTCAACCAGACCAATGTAAAAATTGAATAATCCAAAAAATACACCAGACTGAAGGTAAACACTTACCCAATGAAGTAAGTGATGATGAGGAGTTGGACGACGCGGTTGATGATGCCGATGGTCCAGCTCTTCACTACCACTGACTTGGTGGTTTCATAGGTGAAGAAGTCTTTAATACAAGACCACATTCTGGCAGTATGTGTGTCAGTAAATAGAAAAAAGCGTGTGTTTGGGTATGAAGCTTTACAATATTTACAGAATTATAAAGAAAATTCCACAATGTATGGATTATGGAAATAAAGGCTGAAACTGAACTCCAGATGAAGCAGATGTTAGTGTGTGATCCTACAGAAACTACAGATGTTGGCCCCCAGTTGAAGCTGACATCTTCATTATTATTTTGTGTTGAGAAAAAAAAATCAGGTCCAACACCGAGAGCAGTATCCAGATATCCAAGAGCTGTTTCTCTTCTTCTTCACGGAAAGGGCAAATAAATCCCTGTAGCTCAGCTGCACCAGTCTTCAGTTAATGATGTCTTCCTGTAACTTCATGTATGATGCTGACTAACAAGTAAATAGCTCTCCCTCTCTCTTAACCCACAGCACAGCCTCTTTCGTCTTTCCTCTCTCTTGTTTATCCGACTCTCAGGTTCCCTCCTTGATTATCTCCACGGCTCCTCACAGGCCCCCTCCCTCCTTCTGCTCAGTGTACAGTGGAATCATAATGACTTTGTTTTAGGAAAGCACCTTGCTAAAAGCTCTGTGGATTTTTTAAAAATATTTATTCTACATTAAAAAGAAATCAATAACAACTTTAAGTCCAAATGTCAATATCACCTTAGCAGTAAGCAATCTGAGGAAGGACAAGGGGGACGACATTCTCCTGGTTAGCACAATGACCAAAACACATCCTCCTTGCTAACTTGCTGTCCTCTCCATCCCCGGTCTGGATCCAGATGCCATGTTTTCTGAATTGACCTATAACCGATAAAATATTGAGAATTATTACATTTCGTTGGAGCTTTTCAATTTTAAGCGGCACAGCATGTAGCACTGGTTTAGCAGCCCAGGAAACTCACAGACCAATTGCATGCGTTAATTTATGATCCCACAAGAGGCTACTCAGCTATTCAAATCCACGTATACAAATCAGCATCGTGACTCGAGTGAAATACAGATTAATAAATCGACCACTGCCCTTTGGTGCCATGTCAGGGCTTCAGACAAGTGTCTTACACATCCAGTTTAGTGTAGCACATCAATTGTATGATAAATATTTCATGGTTCAAAGTGCATTATATCCATCATGTTCAATGTGAACCACAGTGAGTGTATAAAAGTCTACTATCAGGCCCATTTATCAGTACACCACAAACCACATCCAGGATATAACGTTTCAGTCTAACTCAATCACAGCTGTCTTCAGTTTAATGCCACCTAGACTCTCAGAGTACCTCCATTAAACAGTAGTCACATTCGTGGAGTTGATAATGCACTGCCATTGGATGAGAACCAATGGAGGAGGGTGGGAGAAAGGAATAGAGAAGGGGCACAAAGGGGGGAGTAACAGATGAGAAAAAGAGAGCAAAGAGATGGAGAGCAGGTTTAACAACATATAAAATGAAGCTGAGCAGAACAGTGTTGACCCAGGGCTGCCAGTCAGGCTGACGACATAAGGCCAAGAAAATGGAGAATACTGCGCTAAAGATCTTTTCATACATGACCACATCGAAATATTTCCTTATTTTAATATGGTTGATGTCCCCTGTTTAAGTTTTAATTTCTAGCACTCTACAATGGTCTAAATATAAACAAGAATACATCTGTCAGGAAGACAGTAAATAATAAAATGTACCAATAATACAATTTATAAACACACATTCTCTACTTCTCAAAATATGCCATCCACCGTAATGATTTTTGCTCTTAACTATATGAAAATTTTTGGGATGTAAATACAGTAAGTGTGTGCGTGCACTTGAAACTGGACAGTCATGAAACCCATGTGAAAATAGACTTTTGAATTCAGTGAGACCTCATGGGAAACCAGACAGTGGAAAGAAGAGGGGAACATGCATCATACTGCAACATTAAAAAGAATGAATCATACAGTGACATGTAAATGTTATTTCCCAAACTATAAATCTCTTAAGCATTGCCTTGATTTCAATGTAAAGACAAAGATAAAGTGCATTTCTCTACAGTGGTTAACATTCAAGCGTGTACACACACACTCACATACACCTTAGATTAGATTATACAGTAAGTGATCCATCTGGATGGAGGGATGAGGGAGACATAAAGAGGGAAATACCCATGAAGACGGCTGCAGAACTGGTCAAAAAGATTTGTATTGATTTTGGTATTTATGACCAGTTAGAGTGAGAGAGAGGTTACTTTGCCCTCTGCCTTCCTGTCACCCATGATCATCATCACCATAATTTTCACTGTAAAGACATCCGTCCACATGATTGAAGGATTGGCCACAAAGATCACAGCAGTACAATTTGATCTGGACCCTTCCACTCTGTGGAAGCTAATGGGAAATCAAATAAAGAATAAAGTGTTCAGCCATCACTGCTGAGTCCAGCTCTCTCCATGGAGCCTCATGGAGCAAGTAAATAATAATTATTACAATTATACACAGCTGCTTTTATTGTTCTGGTTAAATTAGATTGCCATTGTTATAAAACAAGAGCAGTGACAACAGACAGTGCTGCTCTGGTCTTTGGATACTGTTAAAAGCTGGTGAACACTGCTGTGTCTGCGGTCTTCATCAAGAAGAATTACTGAAATCTGGGGCGTAAATATAGACAGTGCAGGCAGTGTGGTCGCAGTGGGGCCCGTGAAGTGGGCCCTCCAACAATGTGTTGGGTGAAGAATGGGCCCATAAGAGCGACTAGCTATGTTTCCATCCAAAAGTGATTTGAATCATTGGGAAATGTGCATTAAAAGAAATACGAATCCTGTGTGTTTCCATTAAATGTACGGACTTTGGTGAAAACTACGAACAAAAGCGAGTTTTACACAAAACAAGAAACAAAACAAGTCTCGCATTCTTCTTCTTCTACATTTTCTGGCGGTTGGCAACCAGCTTGTAAATGCATTACCGCCTTCCCGACCCGGAGTGTGGATATCACCACGGAGAGAGGTGCGCTACGTCAGACTTAATTCGAACATAACTGTTTCCATCCCCCGTTTTTTTTCTTCTAGAATCAACATTTTTTCAAATCAACCAAAACCTGGCTAAAACGAGCGTATTTTAGTTTGTGCGAATCAGGGGAATTTAATTTGAATTTTGGCGTTTCCATCATAATTTTCCGATGCGATACCTCTAGATGCGCATCTAAACAGGCTGATGGAAACATGGCTACTGACACCTTGGAAATATGCCTATGTTCAAAGAAGAACTCTTGCTAAATTAAAAACAGTGCCAATTACTATATACCCTTGAAAAAGGCAAATTCATCTGTGTGGGGTTTTTTGTTTTGTTTTGTTTTTGTTAAACAGTCAGTAGTATCTATAAAAAATAAAATTCTACATAAACTATAATAAACTATTAAAAATACCTGTACCACTCTGCGCCACCACAGGCCCAAGATACACACACATACACAAACAGGACCTATACATGCAGGCACCCTACGCAGTTGGGGGTTCAGTGCACAAAGGCACATCGAACTGAACGACAGTATGCCTCCACTAAAAAAGCACTTTTAGCCTTGTGTGTGATTTATCCTCCAGGGATTTATCCAGGTTTCATATGCGAAGAGGAAATCACTAGGCTAATTTATACAATGTAAAATGCCAGAGACTTGTGCTAATAGCATTAGCATGTTGTGTCTGTGGGGAAAATGTGTCCGTATTACCACAAGTGTTTGTCTGTGAATGCTGCGAGTTATAGTGAAGCCAATTTGTGTCCTTGTGTTTGAAATTGTTGCTATTTAGTGTTAGTGCTAGTGTTTTGGAGGTGTAACTGCAGAGTGACACAGACACGCCACCGCACAAGTAAAAATGCTCACAAGGGCGTAGGCGACGTGCGTAGGGTCTGCGCACAACTATAAATCCCGCTTAAAGTGTTAACCACTGTATTATTGCAGTTATGCTAACCACACACTTTAACATTAATTTACACACGGTAACGTTGACTCCAGTTAACACCACACTAATGTTACAATAACGTTACTCCTCTTACATGTAACGTAGACATGTATGCAATTAGCTAACGTTAATACTGTGCCTTTAATACTTACCTCTAAAGTTTACCTCGAATTATTAGCGATTAGCAAGGCAAGCCAGGTACAGCAGTCAGTTTGCCAGTGTAGGTGCGCATGCGTAGTGTCCTCTTCACTCCTCCACAGCCCCGCCCCCTCACCCACAAATTTGCAATTATTTGCACGTCTGACAGAAATCCAAGATGGCGACGGCCAAAATGGCTTCTATAAAAGCAAAATACCACATTCTCCCACAATAAGGCAAAGTCTTTATAAATATGGTCAATGACAAATCTGCTGAAGTTTTGCCAAAATGTTCTGGTGTGTAAGCAATACCAAAAGAGGTGCAAAACAGTTTCTGGGTGGTCTTCACAAAAAGAACAGTTTGTATTGATGTCTCTTTTAAATTTAACCATTTAATGATTAGCAGGGTAATAATATCTGTGAATTATTCTGAACGACACTTCTTTCACCTTGTTTACTATCAGGTATCGGTGAGGAATCCTCCAAACTTTTTTCCAGTCAATGTTGTTTATAAATCGGTTCCAGTAAAACAAGACATTTGGAATAGATACAATTTCTTTCTGAAACAAGGCACGAATATTCTTATTATTTCGAGGAAGTTTAGAAAAACAGATTTTTCCAAATGGTGATTCAGCCGCAGCGGGGAGGGAGACAGAAGTGGGTGGAGGTCTGCCAGTATTTCTAAAAAGCATTATTGAGCCTGATGGAATGGCGTCAAATACAATAGCAAATTCTTGTGGCGTAACTAGAATATTATATGTTGATAGAAACTCTCTATAAGAGAAAAGTCACCCCTCTCCGTTGGATAGCTGGCCCACCAGCAGAATCTGATTCTGTACCCAATTCTCACAAAAGAGTGACTTGTTTTTATATAAAATATCTCTATTATTCCAAATTAGATACCTGTGAGGTGAAAAATTGTGCTTATAAATGAAAGACCATGCTAAAAGGACCTGCTTATGGAAAATGGACAGTTTTACAGGGAGTTTGTGTACAATGTAATTGCAGTTCAAAATAAAGCTCAGACCACCAAAGCAATGGGTGACGTCACGGTGGCTACGTCCATTATTTCATTATTTTGACAGTCTATGGGACTGAGCTACTGCCACCCCTCTTCAGCAGGGCAAGGAGTCTCTTCTGTCAGGCTGGTGGTGTGACCTAAAAGTTCAGTTACAGAAAATTATGTTCATTTAACAGCTTAAAACACAGCATAAAACAAATAAACACTGACAGTTAATGTTAATTGCCATCTTTATGAAGTGTACAAGACAACAAACTGTTGAGCAGGATGTTTGTGTTCAAAGCTGTATTTCCCTTTTTCTGTAATCTGTGTTATTACAGATGTTTGTGTGA